GAGAGGCAGGTTCAGCGGGAAGGCAGGTATACCCGTCCCCATCCCTGTCCCTCCGGAGAAACCCAGCTTTCGGAGAGACGGCGCAGTTCCTATTATCGTCCCTCAGCCCATTGACAAAGAGGAGAGCAGTGACCGGGAATATGAAGACCCGGAGCTGAATGAGAATTTCGTTAAGAATAATTTATTGGCCCCTAAGAGTGGAAGCGGGGACAATTTGAGCGTCTACCCGAACAACCGTCGGCCTCTTCGTCAGAGCAGGGACATGGACTCCGGGGACGAAGGCGGCCTTTCCTTCCCGCACCTGAAGCCCAGAGCGTCCCGGGGCTCCGGGTGCAGCACCCCTGACCAGAGGAGTGATGGCTACCTCAGCTCCGACCACGACGACTGCTCCTCTGCAGGTAAGGCCGTGACACAACTGTGTTTCCTGTTCCTAGTTAGAGTTGTAAAAGTGCAAAGTGGGATTTTTTTTTAATGTTATATTGAACAAGCAGAACAAACCAGCGTTGCTGTACCAGGAAGAACATAACCTGTGTTCATTCCACATTGATTGCGCAATTCTTATCTTGAATATGGCTATCCGGTAAATTCAGGTCAGTCTTTACGTGAAACATCAATTGCACCGTGGTTCTGAAATGAGGAATTAGGAATCTTTCGTAGTGCAAACAAACTAAAAGTATTCATTATGTTTGAACTTCAGATAAGGTTCATGTAAACATGGATTTTGTTTACATACCAGAGAGATCTGGAGATTAAGAGGCTAAATGTGACGTCACCTTAATTTTGAATGCATCTCAGGTGCTTGGAAATGTTTAAGTTAAAAATTTTTGTAAACTTTTCTAATTGTTTGATTTATCTGGGCTGACTGGACTGCGACCAAAAACCTGCTTTACAAATTCAAGATCTAGAAAATTAAGATTTCCCCCGACCTTAGTTTTACTCTTGCCAACCCTAAAACTTCCCATGACACATCATGTTTTCATTAGGTGAATTTCATGTAAAAGATCAAATTACTGTTACTCTTTTTTTACTTTCATTCTGCATGTAGAATCACATGCACAATGACATTTACTTCTAACCACTATTGACCTATTGACACTATATGTTTTGTCATAGCAAAGATTTACTTCTCCACATAATATTTTTTCTTAGGCTGCTCCATTTGAAGGTCACCATAGCAGTTACTGTATATATATACTATTTTTATATATATACATACATACATACATACATACATACATACATACATATACTGTATCTGCCTAAATCCTATTTTATAACGGACACTTTTGACTACAACACCAACCAACCAGCTCATGACAGAAGGGTTCATTGTCATCCTGCGTGGAGATTCCCAAGTAGCTTCATAAGTAGTTGCGAATGAGCTATATATCACATATACATATGATTTGTTATTTTATTTTAGGAACTACTAAAAGCCTATGCTTATATTTCTTATAACGTAAGATATAACGGTAATTATAGAAGAAAGCAGTTAAGCAACACCACTTTCATGTTTAGCTATTATTTCCTTTTTTTTTTGTCTCAACAGAAATACAATTAGGATTCTTTACACCACTTTTACTAACAGTGTTCACCGTTTTTGGTAGTCACAACAGGGTATAAATTGAAGAAAAAAAAAACCACAACGGTATCAACACTTGTCAGTGATGAGTTACACTGGGCACTAAATAGAACTGGGATGCTACTGGGTGGGTCTTACGCAGTGATTTGTGCGTCAGGCGTCTCATGCGCTCCAGGAAGCAGCATTAATCATCTCTTGCTTGTTCATGAATCAAGCAAGAGGTTTGTCAAACCAAACAACGTTTCTTCAAAAACTAGTGTTTTTAGTCCGATTTGTATAGTTTTAACTCCTGTATAGTTATATATACTCTCTCTCTCTCTCTCTCTATATATATATATATATATAGAGAGAGAGAGAGAGAGAGTATATATAACTATACAGGAGTTATATATAACTCTACAGGGGTTATACTGTATATAACTATACAGTATATATAATACTATATAACTATAGATATATCTATATCTATATATAGATATATATATAACTCTATATATAGAGTATATATATATATATATATACTCTATATATAGAGTTATATATATATCTATATATAGATATAGATATATCTATAGTTATATAGTATTATATATACTGTATAGTTATATACAGTATAACTCCTGTAGAGTTATATATAACTCCTGTATAGTTTTAATAGTTTTAAATAGTTATTTCAAGACAAATACTTGAACAGTGGAAACATAATTATGGTAAGACTGTTTGGCTTTTTTTTCTGCAGTATATACCAATCAGATTTTTAATGTTTGTACAACAGCATTATTTTTGGAAGCCAGACTTAAAATACATAGAATCAATCAAGTGCAATTAAATCTAAAAAAATTTAAAAATACTGAAGCTAAAGTCAAACTGGCTAATGAGTATAAAAACTCCTTAGCCAGGAGGTTTTCATGTTCGAAATGAACACTACTTTCTGCCAAGTTTGTCACAAATCACTAGACTCGGCGTGTTAAAATAGAATGAGGAAGGTCCTCTTTCGGAGACATCGTGTTCACTCCAGTCTGATTTCCTCTTTCTTGGGTTGGATCCAATTGAAAAGCCACCTCAAGGTACAGTTTTGTGGTGTCTCTGAATCAGTATTTCTCTACATCACCTTATGCAAGACTTATCTCCCCCTCCCCAAACACTTGTTTCATATGTCACTACAAAACTGAAAGAAGCACAAGCAGGCCACAATGACCGCATCCATGGAACAGTTGACTTGTGTTTTCTTCACTCTGTGGGTCAGGGAGGGGAGGCATTTACTGTAAGTCTCTCAGTCTATTCCATCTCTAATGTGTAGCAGGATATTGAAGCTCCACTAACACCTCTGGGAGAACTAGTGGAAGAAGCTGATGGGAGTTAAGACAATGCAGGGTGTGTGAAACAGTGGTAAGAACTGGAGGCGTTTTTTTTTTTTTTTTTTTTTTTTGTGTGGCTTCTGTCGGCTCACACACTCACGCAGGAATACAGCATCAGCATTGGGATCATGTAAGAGGATCTGCTCATGTCTAGGCTTTTGCGTAATGTCCGTTTTCTGGGAAATGGTCGTTTATGAGGTCATGTGACCACTGATTCACTGCTTTATCCTAAAATGATTCAATGTTATTACAAGACTACGACCCACAGGTGTTATGTTGGTACTTTTGGGTCCAGTAGTCCATGTAAAAGTCTCATTACTGTGGTTGGTGTCCAGTTCCAAACTTTATATTGGAGATGTTTTGTTTTGTCCACCTTTTGTTTACGTCGTAAACAAACATTTAAGAAAAAGTCTTAAGCTAGTTTTAATCACCTGGTGGTAAATGTAGCACCTGCTAACAACATATTTTAGAGGAGTAACGGGTGCAATTTTTGGGCCCGTTTCAATGTTAAAAAAAATGTTCAAAAAACGGGTGCAATTTTTGGGCCCGTTTCAACGTTAAAAAAATTCAAAAACGTTCAAAAGCCCGAAAGTTTTATTATTATCACAAACATTTTCAACAAACTGCGCTCACTCTCAAGTTCAACAACCTTTAAAATAAATCGTTTTATAAAAATATCAAATAAAATGTATACAATATATGAAAAATATATGTATAAATATATATAAAAAAAATCCAAATACAATTAAAAAGGTAGCAGCAGTTATCGTGACAAATAATATTATGAAAAAATATTCTAAATATATTTGTTTTCTTTTTAGTTGACTTTGTTGATGACTTGGGTTCGATTGATTCTGAGGACATTCTGTACAAGTTACTCTGTGTTTAAACTAAGCTGTGCCTGAATGCACAAATCATTGTTTTCGGCTGAATGATGGCGTAATGTGTCCGATTGAGTTTGTTGTCCCAAACAATTTCGCGGTGGGTCCCCCTGGCTATCTTTTGGTGAACTAACAAAACTCCTAAAAGATCCAATGTTATAGCCGCAACTCATTTCACCTACAACAGTGTTTCCCTTTTTTTTCTGAAAAAAAAAAAAAAAGTCAAAATACCCTTTTAAATGATAATAACAAAGCCTTTTCTCCGTACATCCAACGGACCTCAATGCAGTCTTTCCATGAGACAAATTCCTTCTTTGTACTATACTGGAGGTTGTCTGTTGCATCATTCAAGGTGTGAAATCTAGTTCCTTGAGAATGTTCTTGTAATTTTGAGAAAAGAAGAAGAAAAAAACCCCAGATTGAGTTGGATGAAGACCTGCTACAAAGCTGAAGGTTTTGATGTGAAATTGTTTCAATTTGTGGGAGGAAAATAGAGAAGACTGGACACCGTCCAATACCGATAACGATGCTGGCCACGGGCTGCCATTGCTGAGGCGATAGTGTCCCTTTTTTCTTAGCCCAAAATTAAGTTGAGCATTTGGGCTTAGGTATCGGATTGGACGGGCTACAGTCGTTTTTTTTTTTACAATGTTTGATCTTGAAATATATACCAGTATCGGACCAGTACTGATCCTGAGTACCAATAACAAAACCCCAACACAGCTCAAAGCCTGACAAAAACACAATGTTAAAACTTGTTGCAGCTGTTGGTGACTCTTCGGAGACGCGTCGCAACCTGTTTATGTCCCAACACAGCTCAAAGCCTGACAAAAATACAATGTTAAAACTTGTTGCAGCTGTTTGGAGACGCGTCACAACCTGTTTATGCTATTAACACCTTTTAAAACAATAACTTTGGCTTACCCCCCGATGGGTTTTAGCGTCGCCAAAATTTCAGTGGATGACCCAAATATCATTAACTTATGCTTTATTTGCTCAGGCAATACGCTGTCTTAAGATACGTATTAACAAACCACAACCAACAGGAAGTCCTTGCTGAGCTGGAGACGCACGGTCTATTTGGTCTGACCGTGGACTCATTTTCAAAGTATGTTTATTCCATATGAAAGACAGTGGAGATAAGGACTGCTCAGTTTAACCCCCCGTGTCAAAAATATTGACCTTTATCATTTTTACAAAATGTGTAGCAGACGTGTCATCCGCGTGAGTAGAAAATGTACAACATATTTCCTGGTAAAAAGCATTTTATGCTGAAAGTCTGTGACAAGTCTGTTATTCACTACAACTATCTCATGATAGGTTTAAAAAAAAAAAAAAAAAAACAGCCAACAGGTTTAGCAACTACGTTGTAATGCTTTAATGCTTGAATATCTCGCATGGTTTTAGCAAGGCCATTCAATGGTTTAGGGCAGTATAAAATGTGGCAAAATGAGACCACAGAAAAGAAAAAAAAAAACAAAAAGAAAAAACCTTTTCCCCCCCTGTCACCATTAGAGTGATTTTCAAAGCGTGACACATATTTCTCCGGTGCTCTGTGTTGCATCCTCCTACCTCAG